TGCCTTCTCCTGGTGACCCTATATAGGGTTTCCAAGGAGTGGCTGGTAGGCTTGAACTACTAAGCTTGTGGTTAGCAGTCCAGTGCTTATCTTACAGCACTACACCAGGACTTCAACTGAAACTACCTGCCTGTATGGGAATCCAACCTGTGACCTTTGTGTTACTAGCCCCACAGTTAAACCAACTGAGCTAACTTGCCAGTTCCAGTTCTTTTATAATTCTGTTTTAATGCAAAGTGATGCATCATGAGATAGAAGTGAAACCACCTACATTCCTGTATAGATATTTAGATATAAATAAAATGGTACTTTGAAAGTAGGGAATAATTAAAGAAAGATTATATATCAGTTCAACAAATATTTGTTAAATTTCCATGTTTTCTGCATTTCTGTTGATACAGAAAGATTGATAAATAAGACACAGGATCTTGTCCTCAAGGAACTGATAGCAGGAGAGACTTAACTTTTCATTCTTCTTCAAATCGTTCTTGTGTAAGGAAAACTAAATAGCATCAAAACTTTGCTTTCTGTGTCTCTCTTGGTGCTTTACAATATTTTTGCAAAACCATAATTTATTGGATTGTGTATCAGAAACTGAATAGTTGAGGTGCACTCGGATACATAGTTGTCAGTGCTCAGACAGTAACACCGATCCAAAATTGATGGACCAATGCCATTGAGCATATAATCAGCTTCTTCAGGACTAGAATTATGGATTTCAAATGTAATTATAATATTTTGGGGGACATTTTTGGGAAAGACCTTATGTTGAACATTCATGAGACATCAAGATGCCTCATTCCCAAATGCTTCTCTTGTATCTATCCTGTAATTCTATCTTCACCTGGGTTCATATGCCCCTTCCCTCAAGGACTTAGGCAATAACTCTGTGAGAAGTTATTGATACCACATGGAGATGCCTTTAAGTGTTCTGGATCTTTTTTAATCCCTATACGTCTGGTAGCTGGACTAGGTTTGTCCTTATTAACACAAGTACAATTACAAATCAGATTATCCCTACACCTGGGAAAGTGGGGTGGGACTCTGGAACTTTGATGGAGACTCGATTGTTGTTGTTGTTACATGCCCTGGAATCAGTTCCGACTCATAGCGACCCTGTACAGGGTTTCCGAGGCTGTAAATCTTTACAGGAGCAGAAAGCCTCATCTTTCTCCTGCAGAACAGCTGGTAGTTTCGAACTGCTGACCTTGCGGTTCCCAGCCCGATTCGTAACCACTACGCTACCAGAGCTCCTTTGATGGAGGGATAGGAGAGGATATTATAAATTAATATATTTACTGATCAGTACATATACTTGAAGAAATCTTGTAAATCATCTAATATAGTCCAAACCTTCACTAGGCAAAAAACTGAGACTTACTCTTAAGAGATGAAACAGTTTGCTTTAGTAACTTAGTGGCAGAAGTGGAACCGTATAGCCCAGGTCAGTGGACTTGCAGCCTTGCCTGGGTGCTCTGTATTTTGATGTGCTTGTCTTGTCATCTAGGTGTCTCTGAGAGCAGAGTAATACAGATAGAAATATGCTCATGTAGGGGGCAGTTGGTTAGAGGAAGAGGGCACATTTATTCAATATATATTTATTCCAGTGCTTAACAAAGTCTGACACATAGTGGATACACAGTAAGTGTTTGCAAGCATTCTGTGGATTCAACTGAGCAAGGCATTATGCAGAATATGTCAAGGATCCATCTCTTTCAAAGATGACTTGTAAATTAAGCCAATTGGGAGATTGACTAACAGATGCAAAGGTAATAATAGTATGGCCAGAAAAGACTTGACTAAGAAAGAAAATTTGCTGCAGACCTCAAAGGAATTAAATTAAGTGTATAAAATTCCATTTTAATTTTATTCAACTAAAAACCACTCTTTGGCATTTGTTGTTATTGGTAAGTGCTATCAAGTCAGTTCCAACTCATAGTGACGCTGTATAGGGTTTCCGAGGAGCGGCTGGTGAGTTTGAACCACCAACCTTGTGGTCCAGTGCATTATCCTACGGCGACATACCAGGACTACTATCTCTGGCGTTGTTGTGTTGTTAGGTGCCATCAAGTTGGTACTGACCCATAGCGACCTTAGGCACAGCAGAACGAAACACTGCCCGACCCTGGGCCATCCTCGCTACTGTTGCCACGCTTGAGTCCATCTGTGCTGCCACTTGGCCAGTCTATCTCGCTGGGGGTCTTCCTCTTTTTCTCTGATCCTTCACCTTACCAAACATGATATCCTCCAGCATCTGGTCCCTCTTGACAATATGTCTGAAGTATGAGAGACGAAGTTTGGCCATCTTGGCCTCCAAGGAGCACTCTGGCTGTACTTCTTCCAAAACGGATCTATTGGTTCTTTTGGCAACCCATGGCACTTTCAATATTCTCCTCCAACACTATAACTCAAAAACATTAATTCTTCTACAGTCTTTCTTATTCACTGTCCAGCTTTTGCATGCATGTGAGGTTATTGAAAATACCATGGCTTGGGTCAAGGCGCACCTTAGTCCTCAAGCTGACATCTTTGCTCTTCAACAACTTTATGAAGGTCTTGTGCAGCAGATTTGCCTAATGCACTACGTCGTTTGATTTCTTGACTGCTGTTTCCATGAGTGTTGATAGTTGATCCAGGAAGAATGAAGTCCTTGACAACTTCAATCTTTTCTCCGTTGATAAAAATGTTGTTTATTGGTCCAGTGGTGAGGATTTTTGTTTTCTTGACATTGAGATGTAATCCATACTGAAGGCTGTGCTCTTTGATCTTCATCAGTAAATGTATTAAGTCCTCTTCACTTTCAGCAAGCAAGGTTGTATCATCTGCATATCACAGGTTGTTAATGAATCTTCCTCCAATCCTGATGCCACATTTTTCTTCATAGAACCCAGCTTCTCAGATTATTTGCTCAGCACACAGGTTGAATAAGTATGGTGAAAGAATACAACCTTGTCACACACCTTTTAAAATTTTAAACCATTCAGTGTTCCAGTGTTCTGTTCTGGTTTCTGGCATACTCACTCAGAAATTGGAGTTCTATATTCTTGTCTGTGGCTGAGTTTTTCATAAACCTGAATTCATGATTGTACTAGATGAACAACTTCTTAACAACACCTGCTCTTTTCAAATTTATGTTTAAAGTGGTGCTTTAGTTCTTTAAAAAAAAAAAGTGTTTTTGATGAAAGTTTAGATGCCAAATTAGTTTCTTATTTAACAGTCTCTACACAGATTGTTCAGTAACACTGGTTACATTTTTCATAATGTTTTAACATGAACATTAATTCTGTTCTGGTTTTTGTTTCTAGTTTTCATCTAGTTTCTCTGTCCCCTTAACTTCTCATCTTTGCTTTAGAGGAATGGTTGACCATTTGGTCTCGTACAGATACTTTTTTAAGGGAGCGTGTGCTGCATACCAGGCTTTGTACTAGGGTAGAAATGAATAAGACTAATAACACAGCTTAATAGGGAATGCAGAATTGTAAGCAAATGCATGGTTAGTATGTTAATAAAAGCATATGTGACATATAGAGGTAGCCAAGAGGGAGGGGGATTTTAATGCTGTTTGGGTGAGATTGGGAAAGGATAAGATGACATGTAGATTTTACAGTTACAGGATAAAGAGGATATGCTCAAGTGATAGCGAATAAAAGCACTTAGACCTGAAACAGCATAATGTGTTAAGGCAATTTTGAACAGTATTGTTGAAATATAATGTGGGATGCCTGTGGGAGGCAGGAGTTATAGGCGGTAAGACTGAAACACTAGGCATGAATCTAGAGAGCTCCCAGTCTTTGCTATTCCACTCATAGTGACCCTGTATAGGGCTTCCAAGGAGGACCTGGTGAGCTTGAACCACTGACCTTGGAGTTCAAATGACTTTGCAGGCTGACACATTAGCCCACAGTGCCACACTAGGACTGCTTTAGGTAGCCTGTCTTAAATTCCAGGTTAGGTAAGTACACTCACACACACACACACACACACACACACACAC